ATGCAACTGTTCTTGACAAATACGAATGGAAAAGATCGTGGCAAAAGCTTAATCAACACCTGTCTGACACTATCTCTAGGAGTGGTAGGCCTAGTAATATCAACGTTGAGTACAAACAATATAATCTGCAAGCTCCGAGCTCTACCGAAATTGAAGACTCCGTCATAGGAGATGCAGACGTTATTACAATGATTAAATTCGCCAGTGCATTTCAAGACATAAATGATCATAGAAATGAGCTAACAGAATTGCTGAGTAGGGCGAAGAGTCGTTCTTACTTAATTTTTGCGGATAACACTTATCAACCTAGAATTGATGTAATAAAAAGCATCGCGGCCGATGCTGAATTTGTTGTAATGAGTGAAAGCACCAATACGAACCCCGAAAAATTCTTACCTAAAGAAGAATACCTCCGTGCTCTCTTGGATATGTTTGTAAGTAATGAAGGCGAAAAAATATGGTTCCAAAAAGAAGCCAAAATGAAATTCATTCTGATGTCTAAACAAATTTAGAGGTAAAAGCCATATCGGATCACAGGCAAAAAACTAATTAGGGCCTATGATTTAAATGGCAATTAAATACATTTTGGTATAATTATTTTCTTAAAACTGTGAGTTCATTAATCCCCATCCTTACCAGAGTCTTCGCTAATAACACAACTAAAAGAAAGCCAGTAGCGATTCCCGCGCTGAAATCTTTTCATAGAGGGGCAAGGTGAAATTTTAGTGCGATGCTTTCTCAGAGCAGACCGGATATACAATTATAATTTCTTTTAATCGCAACACTAAAGGGTGTATTTTTTTAGTTAATCTTAAGTACCTTTATTGTATATTTATATTTTTAATTATATTAATCCACTACCCCGTATCCAAAGATACTATACAATACAAATTACTGTTCTAGCCTGTTACTAGGTGAATGACCCATTGAAAAATCTATTTCCTATAGTTATAGATACCACCAGCTAACCCTCTCCCGTGAGTTACCGTAAAATGGGGTAACTTTTGTCAATTTTTTTCATTTTTTAACCATATCTTTAAAAAAAATCTGCTAAATATCAAATTTATAAATATATTCAGAATAATACAATGTCATTGAACATATTTATAAAGAAATTTTATGAAAAAAAGACATTGGGTGTGATTAGGAGAAGGAAATGTGACAATTATTGGCAATTTCATGTTTGGGGCAACTTTTGTCAGTCGCGATAACTTGAGTTGAAATTGGACAACCATAATAAGTGAAACTGTCAAGTCAAATCTAAATGATTACAACAACAATCCCAGGGCTTACATATCCAAACAAGCACATTTATGACAAATTATTACCATTTACACGGATAGATTTACCTACCCCGCCCACCCTCGCTCTAGTTAATAAGAGTTAGGCCTAGCTTACCTTACTTAGTGGGTAAGTGCTAGGCCGAACGCACCGCTAGGCCTAGGCTAGCCCAGCTAGTATTAACACTCTAGCCTATACCCCTAGCCTAGGCCTAGCTCACAAAGGACCAGAGGGGTGGCAATGACAAATTACTCCTACATAGGCCTAGGCTTTGTGATGAATAACATTAACACATTGTAAATACTACTAGGTCATGTATAGGCCATCCATTTTTACTTCCTGGTTTGTGAGTATAGAATCTCTACTGGTATTTAAACCCGGTTTATGTACTATACAATCAATTGGTGAACAAGCTATTATAATATTGAACATATTTTATCTTTTTTGTTATGGTTGATATTAAAAAAACACATTTATACAGATATTTAGTGCTTATAGTTCTAGTATGTATACTCCCGAGATTATTATCTGTCTGCGGTTAGGCAGATTTAAATGGATTTTTAGAAAGCGTTTTTCGGTACACAGCTAGCGATCGGCATCAACAAAACAGAGCAGGGTTGCCAGATAGCCGACAGGCTTCACGGCCAAACACACGTCATCTCACGGCCAAATTCGGCCAAACTTTTTTTCGATATCGGCCAAAATTCGCCCAGATTTTAATCCGATTAGAAGACAAAAGTGGGTACATAATTACACGAAAATCAGCGGTCATTCGTTAGAAATTATAAGAAATTCAAATGATATACACAGAACAATGTTAAACTTTCACTGTTTTTCATCTTTTAAGTATCACCATAAAATACATGCCCAGCTACATCATTATAAATAGCTGTTCTTTAGTTAGTTGCTGGCATGTAGGCCAATTCAGGGGCGAATCCACAGATGTCCGAAAGTGGGAGGGGCCGTGGCCGAAAAAGATAACACCGTCTTGGAGAAATTTTTGCTTTCTAGACGCCCGAAAATAACCTCTGATGCGTTTGGGCGTCTTACGTCTGTCTCTTATACACATCTAGATGTGTATAAGAGACAGCCCCCAAATCCGCCTCTGCTTTTTAAAATCACATGATTAAGATTGATCTAAATTTGATTTAAATGTATTACATATTAAGGTACATTGTAATCGATCTATAGCATAGTTACCAACTGTCTCGCATTTCAAAATGATTTTGGATGAAACACACATTTTGCAGAAACACATGCGTGATCCATAATTTATCACGCATTTAGCACAAATTTATGCGTGTAGCGAATTATCACGAATTCAGGCTACAAGTACCAGTACCAGTAATTGAGTCATTAGAAAGTACTTAATATTTATGTGAATATTTGTTTCACTGACGCGTTACTAAAAATTTATCAGTGAAATGTTTAGGTCAACATAGCTCGGGTGCTCAATTACATTGAAACTAAAAATATTTTTGCTTATGTCACCGTTATTTTCAAGACACACTCCCTGAAATCGTTTTAAAACAGCTTTAATGCTCAGATCGTCGGAGCGCCTGGGGCCATGCCCCCTCGACCCCAACTGGTGTATACAATCTAACTCTAGAGTAACTTCGAAGAAGTCTCTGGCACAACGCTTGCTTGAAATTGGAGGTGCCATCGGACCCGAATGATCAACACTGCAGCACCTAGGCCTATACAATTCAAGTGGGCAATAATAAATTAATTAAAGTACAGTATTTAATTTATATTTAAAATTGATTCCAAAGAGATAGAACCACTAGGATGGAACATATGTAAACACACACAATATATGGTACAAACTTGCATTGAACTGTCTTCATAAAGCTTAAACGAGGATAAACTTCATATAAAATAATAATATTTCATCCGAACAATTTAAATTATTAAATGTAACTGTTATCTTTTAAATAAACTCTCTTACGTCCAATCGGCTAAAGGGGTCCGGATAACAGGCCTAGTATAGATTAAGCGTTTAGTGCAATACAAACAAAGGTACATGATTAGAATCAAATATAGAATTTAAGCTAACAAAAACAACATATCCAAAAAAAGTCTACGTTATATTAGGCCTATATTGAAAAAAATGTAAACTTTTTAAAAATTCGGCCAAATTCGGCCAAATATATTTTGGCCGTGACTTTTCAATCGTTACGGCCAGGCAAATTTTTATACGGCCAGATTTGAGGAATCTGGCCGTCAAAAAGGCCAAATGGCAACCCTGAAACAGAGTGGGAATTGACATTTGACCTCTGTAGAACACTTTAAAGCATAATCCTCGTTCACAAACTGTTTTTAAATAATTTAAATATATTTTTAAAAGAAAACATCATTTTAAAACAAAATTTCTGGTATTTTGGGCCTAAAATTTTACATAATGGCAGAAATTATTTAAAAATTTATATCCAACTATGTATTTCAATCTATTGTTGATCATTATAGTCAATTAAACCCAGAAAACAATTGAAACTACCGTAAGTTTAAAACGATAGAAAACTGTATGTAAGGGCTGACAAAAGTTACCCCATTTTAGGTGGTGCTATGCTTTTGTACGTAACTGTGGTCCGGTGTAGGAAACACCTTGTCAACATCAAATGATTTATTACCGGACACGGAAATAGGGAATGGACAGTGACTTTGGGTATGTTGCCTGAGGCTAAATGACCAATGAATAATGGAATAATTGAATGAGTAGGGTGGAGCCAGATCCCCCTACATATACCTAGAATATCCAAGGAAAAAATAAGAAAGACACAGCATAGAAGAAGGAACAACGTGAGACCCCGATCGGAACTCCAGCACACAGAAGTATAGTCCTATAGTCGGATATACTTAGGATAAATGTGAATTTTCTACAGAAAGCTGTTAACTGGTAGCCTTTCTGAATTCAAAATGAGAAAGAATTGCTACTTTTTTGGCTTCACTATTTTCTTGACTTGGATCAGAAGAACAGTTTGATTTGCTATACCAAATACCAAGTGCAACCCGACGATTGCAAGTGGAAGCGATTTTGGACATCTTCGCTGTTTTCTTTTTGCCGTATACTCTGAACTCTATTTTTGTTGGACATCTTGCAGTTAATATTATTTTACTTTCTACAAGCGTACGCTGCATTGCCGACAGTCTCACGTGAGTAGTTGCTAGGTTAGGTTAGGACACCATTCATCATAAGCCCCAATTTGTAATCCCCCTTTGGATAATAAATTAATCCCTAACAAGTGTAATAGAGAGGCTTCTGTTGTTATATATATTAACATCTACCGATTGAGACTGCGCGTAACTGGAACCCGAGCCCTCACTATTTGCTGTCTCTTATACACATCTAGATGTGTATAAGAGACAGGAATAATACAATGTCATTGAACATATTTATAAAGAAATTTTATGAAAAAAAGACATTGGGTGTGATTAGGAGAAGGAAATGTGACAATTATTGGCAATTTCATGTTTGGGGCAACTTTTGTCAGTCGCGATAACTTGAGTTGAAATTGGACAACCATAATAAGTGAAACTGTCAAGTCAAATCTAAATGATTACAACAACAATCCCAGGGCTTACATATCCAAACAAGCACATTTATGACAAATTATTACCATTTACACGGATAGATTTACCTACCCCGCCCACCCTCGCTCTAGTTAATAAGAGTTAGGCCTAGCTTACCTTACTTAGTGGGTAAGTGCTAGGCCGAACGCACCGCTAGGCCTAGGCTAGCCCAGCTAGTATTAACACTCTAGCCTATACCCCTAGCCTAGGCCTAGCTCACAAAGGACCAGAGGGGTGGCAATGACAAATTACTCCTACATAGGCCTAGGCTTTGTGATGAATAACATTAACAC